CTATGAGAGATGAAAACTTGTTCTTTTTACTAAAATGTATCCATGACTCTACTCTATTTATGGTATGAATTTCGTGAGTTGGCTGTTAGTAGTCAGTGAAACACAGCTATTTTATGGGAGAGGATCGCTTTTTTTGTTGAAAATTCGAGGTCCTTTGAGAAAAAAATTCACAGTTCAGTCTAGGAGCATCATTTCAACTTTAAATTCGCATCAAAGGCTCTACAGTGTCTGTGGATTATCTAGCCAACGTATGAAGATTGACCATTATTTGGTTCTTGAAATTCATTGAGAACGAGCACTCATGATTGAAACATACGTAGAAGAGCCCGGATAAGGGACTAAGGGTCGCTCTTTCTACAAAAGTACATCATAATCATGAAAAAACAATCATGGAAATCTGTGATTCCGAACAAAGCAGGTGGAACCTTTGTCTCTCAAGAAAAGAAATAAATCACTTATATCTCACGAGCCATCCTTTAAAAGAGGCCCAAGCTTGGGGGCTATCAGCATGGTAAGAGCTATGATCACACAAAATTAGAAATCCCTGGCTATCATGGTTCTTGAGTTACACGGGTGCCGCTACTTTTGTCCAAATATAGGCTTCCCGTCTCCCAAGGGTTAAAAAGCAATTTTTTTATGATACATAAAAACTAACATTCATTTTCCTCATCTTTCCGAGACTACTTCGTGATTATTTTTATAACATTCGTTTAGCCAATCTTAGTATGGAATATCCATAAAATCGTAAACGCTTTTAACAGATTACTGAGAGACGATTATTAATGAATTTTAGCGGAGCTCATTGATTTGAGGTTTCAATGACTACCGAACATAGAATGAATACGATTAATCAAGAATAGGATCACAATTAATTTTTCATCATTTACACTCTTCTGGCGTAGATAAATATTACGTATTAACACTAGAATGCCCGGAAATTTCCATGACCTAGAACGCCCGAAGCGGTCATGTTGACCATTACTGTTTTCATTTTTAATTTTATAATTAAAAACGGTTCTGAACTCAAAAATAAATTAAAAGTTCTGCAAAAACTGATTTTTATGGGACAAATTAAAAGTTATGACATAATTTATTTTTAAGTAAATTGTATGCAGTTTGTTTCATTAGGGCTAAAAATCAAAAAACGGTCAAAATGACCGCTATCGGCTTTCTAGTGTTAATCTTTGAATCACTAACTTACTTCCAGTAAGCAAGTGTTTATTTGAAACAATATATACATACATAATATGTTGGATACAGCACACTGTTGGGACAGCATGGAATATATTTTTTGTACAGAAATGTGTGAAAAAAATCACCTTTGTTTCATCTCTCTTCTACACTATGTGCGTGTGGGAGTGTAGATGTGAACGCGTTATATACAAAAACAAAGAGGCATTATATTTCATATTAATTCAATTAATACGAGTCTATCATTAATTATTCTGTCTGTGACCTGAACTAGTGTTTCTCTTCCCATTTCTATGCATCTTTATTACCATTACCATTCATATCATCTAAATTTATTTATCTAATCAAGATCATCAAGAACATCAAGTATTAGTTTAATTGTGTGATTTTGACTTTCAAGCTGAAAATCGACACCATATAATATTTTGGTCAATTCCTCTAATCTACTATACAACTATTTCTTTGTTCTAATATTCAAGTTCTCATAATGTCAATGTAGATCATTCCAGGCTATAAGATATACATTCAAATCAAGGCTTTACTACTTTAGAAAAAAAATAATTGACTAAAAAACCTCATATTTCTGTTATTTTCTATACCGTAAACTAGTTTTTATTTTTGAACGAAAATTAACTTATATAAATATTTCATGTTGAAAATTGATCATCATATTTTCTTTCTTATTGCCTTATAACAAAATAACGAGAAAGAGAGCCGTTATTTTCTGTTTTCGATCACGTTAAATTATCATATGAAACGTATTATCATCATCATCATCAATACTATTAAAAATTCACTAGAAAATTGGCTTCAATCATGTTCATTTCTTCTTTCTCGCGACAGCACACAAAAAAAATCTGATTTTTTTTATTATTATACAATTGTTTATGGTAAGCAAAAAAAAAAACACAGCACGAATCCGTTTCCCTTCTTTCTATAAGCAAACATCAAACTAAAGTATCTAAAAAAAAAAAATGAGAAGAAAACAAGAACAGTAGATAATAACGTAGAATATACATCACTGATAACTTTCATCTCATGAATGACAGAGAGACAAATATGACTTAAAATCTGTTAAGATAAAAAAATGAAGGTTCCATTACATTCATATTAATCAATTTATAAAAAAAAAGAAGAAGAAAAATAGGTTTACATGCATTATATTTCCTCTTTCTTTTTTTCCAGAAAATGTAAAAGGTGTGTGTATGTAGACTATTTTTTCTATTAATCGACATAAATCATTTTTTTCTATGAAAAAGAAATGGTATACATAATAAATTAATGTTTATATGAACGTACTCGTACATTGAACAGGAAACAATAACATAATCAACAATTAAACGATGATAATAGTAATTCTCAAGAGTATAGGCATTTTGTAATTTTTCTTCATTCATAACATAGACATTTGAAAAAATTGTTCTAGTAAGTTTAAATTATTCAGTTTTTCGTTTTAGTTATTTTTGTTAGTTTTTTTTTTTTTTTGTTTGAAAAATCCTATTAAAAATGATGTTCTTGTTGTTTATTGTATTAAGATTTTCTTTGTTTTTATGACTATTATTTTCGAATATCATAGAGAAGAATGTTGTTTATAGAAGTAAGCGTTCTTTTTTGCTGAATATGTGAATAAAAGATTGTTATAAACATCATTATTCTATGTAGAGTAATATTTACATGTGATTAACAAAAAAAATTTTTTTTTTCGCTTTTTTTTGAAATTTAATTAACCTTAATAATTATTACAAGTTATTTCAGAAAAATAATGAAACCCGTATATATTTATATACGGGTTTCATATGACATATACATTTGAAAAAATTGATAAGTACAAAAGACTTTTAATTAACTCCTGTTTATCATTGTGAAATGAAATTTTGAATGAATGAATAAATAATAATGAATAATAATAAAATAGTGCAGTTCACTGATTCAAATAAAAGTTTTGTCTCATGTTCTTGAACAGTAGAAATATTTTTTGATAATCTTAAGTGTTAAAATATGCGAATACATCACTATTAGAGTATAAAAATAGAAACAAGAATGTGTGTTTTTCCTACTATGTCACGTAGTACTATATTAACTTGTTCGACCAAAATTATAATTTATTAAAAAGATGAATGAAAAAAAATTAACAAAAGTTTATGTCGTATTGTTTTTTAGATCGCCTTTTTATTGGACAGTCTGATCAATAACAATTTTTAAGAAGATATCTAAGTATGTAAACACTTTAGAGAATTCTATTCACTTTTTTTTTGTCAACTCAAGAGATACAAATTAATTAACTAATAGCTATGGCAATCCATGTGAAAATCTCGTTTTTACATAACCAATTTCTAAAATTATTAGTTGAATAAATCATAAAATGTTGAGGTATATCTGAACGTATAAGTTAGCCATTTAGAGATGATTAAACTGATAGTTTTATTAAAGAATATCAACTTTCTGCAGGATAGGTCTGGTAAAATCTCTATGAGTTTTCTGACAGGATCCGAGGCATATCGGACCACTATCCTACTAGGATTTCACTTTAATTTCTTGGAATTCTAACAAAAAATCCTACAGAATCCTAATGAGATCAGATATACCCGAAAGTCATAGGATTTTCCAAGATTCTGTTAAAATCCTAAAAAAACTTAAGCGAAAGTCTAGTAGAATTCTGCTAGAAAATTATTAGATGGATCCTAAATGTTAGCATCCTGCAAGATTCTAGTAGGAAATAGGAAGCGTGTAGGATTTTCTCTAGGGAATAAGTCACTAATTTCATGTTTTAGAAATTTTTTGTTTTTTTGTGTATTGAATTGAAATATTGTCCTTTTCGAATTGATAGTGTATTTAGTATACAGACATCTTATCATCATCGCAGAAACACGAGAATATTAATGGTGTTTCTAGAATGACACAAATTACTACTAACTTAAAGGTTTTGTATGTATTTAATTATAGTCTTACTGACAAAACAAAATGTCAGTCCATGCCAGCTGTTTAAAAAAAATGAAACTAATATTATCGTTATATTCGTATTATATTATTATATTAAAACGACGACCAAATATCCTGTAGAGATGGAATGGATTATCTAGTAAAAATTATTTGTACCATATTCACAGATCTAGAAGTTTCGTTTGGATGATAACTATAGAATTGATTATATTCTGTATGAAACTAATGGAAGATTTCTTTCATAGTTTGATCTATGAATGATTGCTGAACATCATACAGTTAGAGGAAATATACCTCAGTTATGAAATTAGTCTCTGATTTTTGTTTATAAACTTACAGTAAGAATTTATATTCAAATAAAACTGATTTGATCATCTATGATACAATAGATACATGTTAGAATAAAAAACAGAAATAGAAATTATTTGCTGAATTTTTTGACATGAGCATATCTTTCTTGTTTTTTAATAGAAGAAAAAGCAATGAGAGAATTTTCCATTTAGCGCTCTGTCTCTCTCTCTCTCTCTCTCTATCTCTCTTCTAACACCCTTTTCATCGTCTTTCTTTTTTTTTTACAGCTTAAAGTCAAGTTCTGTCTTGCTCTCTATTCTGTTCGTTTATTCGATGCAATAACAATAATAATGTTCGGATAAAACAAATTTACTCTTATTATCATTAGTGCCCATATGTTTATGTGTATATTTGTATCTATACGTATGTCATAAAGTATTTCTGTGATCATTAAGAAGATTTAATAATAAAAAAGTTGAATGAGCTGTCGTTGCATTCAACGTGAAAAGCTTAAGTTAAAGAAGCTTTTTAAATAATATGATTTCATTTGTAAGTGGATTTTATTTTAACAATACGTCATGGAAAATAGTTCAACAGGTAAGTTTTTAACACATTTGATCCGCTCTGATACACAAATTACATATGGTTTTTTAACATAACATTTTTGGTTTTATTTTTTTTTGATTATTTAGATGATAAAGATGAAATATACAAAATGAGCACCGTCGAATGTCTCTTAGTTCTTGTTGTTATTAGTTTATGGTTAATTGCAGTTATTAATCTTGCACGAAAATTAGAGAAATTATGTAATCCACCTTCTATATTTCCAAATTATTCTCTCTATGCAAAAGTATCGGTATCACCATCATCGGCACCAAACTCTAGTGAACCTATTGAACAACGAACATTTATTCGTGCAATATCTGAGCCAACAATTGATGCATCACCACGTACTGTCATCATTCGTAGTCCATCTGAAACATGTTTACATATTAAATCAACAAATTCTCTACGTGGTTCAACACTATCACATTTATCTCCATCAGATTTTATTGATGATCATTTTTATCATCATTACACTAATAGTAATCATCGTATCGTTCATGAAACGAATGAAAATCGACTAACAAACAAACAACGTAATTCATTATTGGATCCTAATCGAATACCTATGATTGTTCGAAAATCTCTAATTGATTTACATAGACGAACGTTATTTAATACGAATATAACGCCAATCAAATGTATCATTACACCTGATAATAATTATCAACATATGAATATCAACAATTCAAAACAACCATTAATTCAACGACAACAACTTGTAGATTTATATCATACAGAAGAAAATGATGATGAAAATCATGGTAAGATATTTATTAATATTCTCATATTGTAAAAATTTCTGTACATTAGCATATGGATAATACATAATTATTTTCTATATTAATATTTGAAATTTTATCATAATATAAAATGTAAAAGAACGACAATTTTGTAAATCGATTCAAAAATATTCTTGATTGTTTCTACATTTTTCTTTTTTAAAATTTTAAAAAGTATTAAAGCAAGCCCAGAAGAAACTGTCGTAATAAAAAATTTCATTGTATCAAATGTAAAAATTTGATTCTATTACTCCTGTAGTCTTTTACATCTCTATTTACGTATGTAACAGTATAAGAAAAAGGTAAATATTGCATTCTTTTTTTTTTATCTCGTCAATTAAAATGAACAACTCAGAAAATAATAGAACAAGTATTGTTGTTGCATGCCAACAATGTTTGAGAAGAGGAAAAAAAAAGAGCAAAAACAAAATCAAATTTTTCATATTTTATAAATTTCCGTCTTTCAGACCAATATCTTATAATATAGAGGTGCATACACGTAAATATCAATTTATTTGTTCCGTTTTATAATTGTATCCAAAGATCCTGTTTTAAACTTTCATCAATCACCAATAAAATGTCTTATTTTCAAAAAAAACGGAAATTTACCGATATTTTTTCTAAAACAGAGTACTTACGTGGCTACTCTGAAACAAAGGTAAAAATTTAGATAAAATAAGTAAATTATTATCAATATTCATTCTCAATTTTAGTCTAATATGATCTTTTTCTTTTTAGACTCGCAATCAAGCGACTGATATTGATCAATTTCGAAAACCATCTGAACGATATGCTGTACAAATTCAACGATTTCGTGAAAAGATGAATCTTGATTATATGCCACCTCTACCATGGTTCTATTTAGAAATTGTGTAACTCATAATATGAGAGATGGATGATGATAGTCGAATAAGAGCAAAAAGTTATCGATAAAAGCACAATTTTAGAACAACTTTAAAGGCCACCACCACATGCATCTTGGTAAAAATCCAAACGTAAAAGAAAATTCACATGTATGTAAAAGAAAAGAAGAAAAAAAAAAAGGTTTTTCTCTTTGCTATGTATATGTTCTCCATGTAGTTACACAATATCTCTGTTTTATATCTACACTGTTTCTTTTTCTACGCGTTCTTTTCTTCTATTAACTTTGTCATTTGTGATATTTCAAAAAAAGCAAAATTTTAATGAAAAACTAGTTTCTCAAATGCAAAAATTGAAATGATTTTCAGACACATCGATAAAGAAAGAAAAGATTAAGAATGCTAATTTACACAACTTAATTTGTCATAAATTTTACTGCCAACCTTTGACGTACTGTATTCTACTTTTCATCGCGTTAACATTTTTTTTTTCTGTATCAATCCCTGTGATCAAACTTTCTTTTTGTTATTTTTTCTTTATAATCAGTTTTTTTTTTTTTACATGAAAAGTGTTTTATTTATAGTATTCTCCAATCAATCAAAGATGACAATCCCAAAATTGTTCATACAAATACAAAAAATGTCAGTAACAGAGGGACATTGTTAGTATTCATTTTCATTATTTTGAGCAATACTGAGTTGTCATTTTCTTTTTTGATTAAACTGAATCTAAATTTATTTAATGTAGATAACAGATAAATTCACATGTAAATCACAACTACTTTAACATAGAAAACAGATTCTAATTTACTTATTCGCTTCATTAACATTCCATTTGATACAAATGGCAACCCGAAATGAGATTTTAAGCCAATTAAAATAAGTTCTTCATTTTTGGAGCAAATAGTAAAATTCGTTGTCAACGTTTTCCACTATTTGTTATTCTTAAAAATGAAAGCTAAATTTTTGAAATATAAATGTTCCAATTTATATTACTACAATATACGATGAATTTGAACTCATAGTTACCGTCACAGTTACGTTGAGTAGACTTTGTAAAACGATAAGTGACTTCTTGCTTTTCACTACCCAGGTCAAAGAATTGTACAAGAGGATCGTACAAGATCGGATATTAACCGATACATCCGATCGTACACGAACCGGTATGATCTTGAATAATCGTAGAAATTCATACATATGAAATGATCAGATCGACATCCGAATCGTGGTCCCTGAAATAGGGTCCAGAATATATGTACAACAATCGTACGCACGATATTGCACAATCTGATGTGATCCTATGAGATTTTACATACGAAATAATAAGATTATATAAGATCGTGTCTGATTTTGTACTATCATATACGATCTTACGTACGAATGATGCATCATTCTAACTGTTTTTTGCTGGTTTCTCTTGCTAGTCTGCGTTTGTTTTCCTTATACGTTTTTCTCGCATATGGATCTTCTCAATTCGTTTCTTTTTCATGTCTTTTAATTATGTATAGGAGATATAAAAGATTTAGAAAAAGAGTCGCTCGGTTGGAAAAACTGTAAAAATATCAGTTCATTCGGTAAATCGCATCAAAACAGGAAAAAAAAATTTGAAAATAAAAATAACCAAACCATTACAAAAAAAATGTGAATTGACATGAAAAGATGTGCTTTATTCGTAAACAAAAATTATGGAGAGCCGAAAAGAGTAAGAGAAACAGTCCTTTGAAGAGTAAGGCTGAAAAAATGTGTCTTAAGATACATTTTTCGGTGAAATCGTCAGCAAGCGATTGCCTCTTTTATACGCTGCTATGATCCGCGCAGCTCTGACTCACACTAATCCAACTTTCGAAAGTACGCTTACACTAATTCGGATCGTGTCATCAAAGCGCTCAAATTAAAAACGCTCTGACAATAAAGGGAAAGCTTCCTTCTGGCCTTAATCTTCTGAATCAACGCTGCTTTCTTCTGAATTCTGAATGCCATACTAAAACTGTGTTATCAAATAATCACAGTTCAATTTAAAGAAAGACAAAAAAACAAATAATGGGTTGAACATCGCGCAACATCACGAGGATAGTAGGTGGTGCTGCTAAGCAGTTAGTGCTGTGAAAATGCTATGAAATTAAAGTGAATTTTCTGCAGAAACATACTTCACTAAACAAGTCATTTGAATTCAAAATTCAACTTTTTTTAACATTTCATGTATAACCCATGTCCTCGAAATCGCTTCGGTTTGGATGATTAATCGTGATTTTGCAAAATATTAACGATTAATCGCGATTTCGACAAAAAATCGCCGATTAATGGCGATTAATTGGTAATTTTTCCAGAAACCACGATTTATCCCCATTATCAAAAATATCGCCAGTTAATCGCAATTAATCGGCGATTTTGTTATGTTGACGCTAAATTACGGCTAAATCAGTTATTTACTTAACTTAATATTTTTCAACTCAGAGAAAGAGAAAATAGCTATTATGAGGGATTTGTTGAGCTCGAACCGATTTAATAATAGGTGTCGTATGCTATAGCATAGAAGTTTCAGCCTCATATTTTACTGGCTGATAAGTCTGCAAAAAAATCGACAAACGGATCGATTTTATCGCGATAAAGCGCACAATTAATCGGTCCGTAAATCGCGATAAAATCGTCGATTTTTCCGCGATTTTCATCACATGGGAAATCGCAGAAAAAGCAAAAAAATGATCTAAAGAATACGATTTCGACTGAAATCGTACAATACGGTCACATATGATTTTTACTAAACCATTTTGTACGAATCATACTACATGGTTTCATACGAAATACCTGACTGACGTATAATCAGACCTGTATCAAAATTGCATTGTAAGAAATCAAAGAGCCGATTGATGCAGTAATTACTTTAGTTATTTCAGACAGCATGCAGCTAGATAAATGTATCCCCTTGTGACCCTTGTGAATTAAAAATGATGCTCATCACATTTTGGTTAATCGATTGGCGTCTATGTGGTATTCTATAACAATATCGCAGTTTTCTTCCTGTTAAAATTCTAGAGAGACACGAGAACAATCTCGTTTTCAACAATATCATACATTTCGTTTATTTGAAAAGCAAAAAAAGAAACTAGCAAAACATCGTCGCACTTTCGAAGAAAAAAAACACTTCACACGTTTTTTTTATAACAAAAGTGAAAAAAAAATCACCGCTTTTCAAAAAAACGATAAAATGAGATGAATCGTTATTTTACGTTTGTTTTGATATATTCTTTTATATATTATAAAAAGAAAAATGCTCATGAAAATAAAAAAATCAATAATAAACAAAACATGCGGACAAAAATGCGAATGTTACAGGAAATATAAACCTGAACATTTTATCAACTATCATATGAATACATGGATTACGGTGGAATGGATGGGACGATTTTTTCATTTTGAGATTCAATGTTCACACAACAAATAAATTTAATGATAGGAAGCAAAAGCAACGAGCAAAAAATCAAACATTAAAAATAACAACAAATGATTGTATAGAAATATAATTTCGTAAGTTTTTAAAAATACACGTACATACGTAAATATAGAATTTGTAAAAACTTGATTTAACTGACTTTTTTTTCTACATTTTTCTTTGCCGATTTAACAACTTCGACTGTTTTCGATTTCAAAGCCAATAAGATACGTGTTACTAATAAAAAGCTAATTAATAGGGTGGCTCCTGTATATTCCATTGGATAATTTAACTTTTGAAATGTCATTACCGCTAAAGAGCTAATAGCCAACAGAATGATATTTGATAATGTTTTCAAGAAGCCTAAAATAGAAAATAATTTAATAAATTGATATGAGAGTATATTTTCCTTCGTCAGCCCACAATATAAAGCTCACAGTTTTTCTAAATCTAACAGTACGAAGACGAACATCTAATCGTACTCAAAGGAGTTGCTATGAACGAGCCTATTGTAAGCATGTCAAGACATTTTTATGTACCTCCGCCTAAAATCAACAATGCACCACAAATAATTTCTGTTATTCCAACACTTAAACGATAATTTTTGGCATATGGACGAAAATTTGTTTGACGATAAAATGGAAATTCCTTATTGTATTTACCTAAAAGGGAGAAAAAGAAAAAAATGTCATCTTTTTTGTAATAAGAGACATATATCTCTGTTACTCACCAAATTCGTTTTTAATATGCTTATGATATTCTGGAAAGAACTGTGGTGTTACGTTAAGATGTCCAAGAAAAATAAAAAAAGCACCAAGTACAATTGTGAGTAAATGAAGACCCAATGATGCCATCTAATAACGTAAAATAAAGATAACTTTTATAGATAAAAAGTTTCAGTTGTAAATTGTAATGGATAGATTGTAATATACATTACGTGTAGATTGAACCTACCGTCCAAGAAGTTTAGTAAACTATTAGTTTGTCAAATCTTAACCTTCACTTAGAAATCAACTTTTTTAATTGGAAACAGACAAGCACTAATGTATAAACGGTCTCCGAACAGTTTTCTGACTATAATTTCATTAATTCATCAGACATGGGGTACCGTCGCGCAAAAAAATGCTCTCCGTTCTGCGCTACGGTTGACTGAACTGATATAAAACATGTAAACAAAATATTCAACTGACCTTGATAGATTTTAATTAACTGAATATACCACAATGTCCCTGTACTGAAATATCGTCCCCTTTCTTTCGCTCTACATCTAACCGTATATTAATGGAATCCGTGCTACTATCAAAATTTAACCAATAGGAGCCTTACACAAGTAAAGTAGAGGTCATGTGATAAGTACCGTTAAGAACTATTTTTCACATAAAATTCGAGCTTGAATTTTAAGCTTTAAGTTTTCTATTTTTATCTCGTAATCGATCGCATCAGACGGCCATTGCGTAGTTATGCATTAATTGTAGAAAACTGCTGAAAATCGTTCGAGGTAGGGGTTTTACTATGCGACTTGATCGAATTGTTTCACAGTAATGGCCACTCAGAACTAAAAATGTATTTTTTGATTGCACGTTTGACTATGCATTTCAATGTGTTAACTGGTATTATCTGTTGAACAATGTCAAGCAAAAAGGTGCTAATATGTTAGATTTTCTCGAGAACTATGCACACTAACTAACACTGTTGGTAACACAATCTTATTGAATGCACAAAGGTTCGGCCAAGCTTGACGAAAATGTTCAGGTTTTCGAGCTAAACAGCATAATATCTACCTGATCAAAGTTACTCAAAAGTTTTCATTTCTTTCTCGGACATGTGAAGGAGCCCGATTACTATAATCAACATTTAATGATACATTTTTTAGTCTAAGTTGAGTTGAACGTCAGCTGGTCAAGCCGTTAAATAGAAAACTAATATGCACTTCGCAACAAAACGTTGTTTGTTTGATCAATCACGCTAACACACATGCTTATTCACTATTCTCCTAGAGTTCCATACGAAATAAGAACGACACGTCGACGCGAGCTGAACCTTCTCCTTATACAAAGGTAAAAACACATCAATCTAATCGTGATACTTTAAAAGCTTGGTCGATCGGAACTGGTTGTACAGTGAATTCTCTATAGTCAGTTATTTTGCATGCAGCAAATTTTCGATCGAAGTACTTCTAAAAAGTTTCGTGATATCGTTTTATCTCTGGTCCCTTTCATGAAATATTTTTTCAAAAATATTGAATAAAACAGTCGACAGAAAATTTTCGGAAGTACCTCTATCCAAATTTTGCCATACAGGATAGTCGACTATGCAGAATCGGAATCTGCAGTTAGTTGCGATCGAACAAACTTTTAATATTTCTCGACTAGTTTTATATATGTCTTTCAACACAAACACCTACAAGCTGAAGTTTGGCTTTTTTCACCATTATTCGTATACTATTATGATACTAAATGGTTTGTGTTGTGTTTTGTAGAGTCGTGACACGAGTAAATCAAAACGTACAACCAAGGTAGTAATAATTCATAGTGGTTAAGACTAATCGACTATACTTGATCGTAAATTTTAACATTTTAAGGATGAATATAGAGATGTAGAAAAGTCAGAAAAAGGAAGTAGTTCACGTGATAAAAAAGGGCGCGAAGAAGAATCTCATCACCGTGAAGTAAGAATTTTTAGTGTATATTACATGTGTTACACATTTTCGTTTAATTTGAAAGTCTGGTCATCGATCTAAAAGCAAATCGAAAGCGGAAGATGAAGATTATAGTAAAAAGCGAAGTAAACACAAGTATGATGATGAAAATGAAATAAAATCAAAACATGATAAAGATAGGAAAGAACGAAGGAACAATGATAATGATGAGGACAGTGATGAACGTCGCAGAAGAAAAAGCAAAGTAATAAATTTAAGATTATTCTAAAATTTCATACTTTTTAATCTTTTTGTTTAGACTTACGAGGGGGCTCAAACCAAATCAAGTGTAAAAATAGACAATGAGATCGTACAAAAGCATAAAGTAAGAATAAACGAAATCTTTAAGTATTAAATAATATTCGCTTCTGTTGTTTTTTCTTATCATTCAATCATCAGCGCCATGGCAATCTATCACCATCAGATGATGAAAAACAACAAAAAAATGTTCGTTTTCTGCTATCTTTCTTACTATTTTAAAGATAACTCTTCTCTTCTATGTAGAAGCAAAAAATAACCGAAACGTATGCACAAGTTGATACTGGAAATTACAGTGACGATTTTGAACAAGTACAAAATGCTTTTAAATGCTCTTCTTTTTTAAGAAAAATTTGATTGTGTTTTTTATTAGGGTTATGATGATGATTTTGATGAAGATGTGAACGACGATATTCCAGTGAAAGTAAGTTTATTTATTATTATGATTTGTAAAGAAGTAAAGAAAAGTGTTGTCATTTAGAAAGTTTCCGCTACAACTGATCAATCGTCAACTAAAAAACGAATTTCTTCACCTAAATATGAGGTAGTCTTTATTTTTGAATACAATTAAATTACTAAAACATTTTGTACTATTTTTAGGGATCAACAAATTTTTCAAAAGCAGATATTAAAGTATACAGCTGTGATAGACGATTTTATTCACATGATACTGCTGATAAAATTCGCAGTCGTTATCGTGATTTATCCCGTTTAATTGAACTCGATCGACAATCGTTCAATATACTTGATATTACACCAACAAAATCGTATGCTGTTTATATGCGAGATTTTATCAATCCAAATTCAACTCAAGTAGGTTAAAACTTTATTTTCTTTTCTTCATCTAAGTCATTTTATGTAATTAGGCAAAAACTCAAACAAACGATGACAATGAAAATATAGATACTCAAACGGATGAAATTGAACAAGCTGCAAAATGGACTCAACATCCAGCAGAAAGTATCCAAAGTTGTGGAGGCGGTGATGGTTCAGGTTAATATTTTAATGTTTTGTTCATTACCATTTTAACTAGTTTTCAATTTATTTAGACAACAAAACAGATCAAAGTATTGAAGATGATGAAATTTTACGTCTGTTACATTCAGAAACTGATTTAAAAAAATATCAGAATTTTGTTGACAATGCAGGCAAAGTAAATTAAATGTTTCTATTTATTAATTGTTTTCATTATTTAAAATCTTATCTTTCAGTTAATGTTAGCATTTATGGGAGAAAATACATCAAAATCTACATCATCAAAATCAAATGAAACAATGCAAAAAGAATCTGATCTTGATTTTTCACGTGGTGTTACGATATTAAAACCAATAGATGAATCGGGTGGTCAGTCAACTAATAATAGTCTGTTAAAATATGTAATCTCAAATTCGTTTAGATATGAATGTGTCCTGTGTTTGTTTTTGTGAAGATAAGCCAGATCATGTGGCTATTTTCTACGAATCGGTGAGTAAATTTTCGAATTTATAATTTTTTTTTAATAAATACTTCATTGAAGTGCATTTTTCTTAAGATTAAAACTTCGACAACACATTACGGAGCCATCTATAATGTTCGAGATCCAGAAAAACCAGTGAGGTAAATGAGTCTACTTATTTTTGTTTATTTTATTTCGTTCTTTTTTCCTGTAGAATATTAAGCTGTGAGGCACCTCTTCAATGTTGTTGTTCTTCAATTGCCTACATATTTGCTGGATGTGTAAGTATGATATGTAAATCTTTTGAAGCATCAATAAATATGATGGATTTTGTATGTTTTTTAGAAAGATGGATCCGTTCTATTATGGGTAAGTAACATTTATTTGCCAGAATTTCTGTAATTTCGCTTGCTTATATTATTAGGATACAACAGAACCAAATCGTTATAAAATATCTTCAAATGGTTCTCAAAGATCTCTACCAAATCTGCCAACATTCTCAACAGCCAATATAAGTTTAACAGACTATCATTATAATGAAGTGATACGATTATTACCATTGAGAGCAGCAAGGTATACCTTATTAAATCGATGGTTAAAGTTTGCACAACTTTGATTCTGTGTTATAGTGCAACAAGCAAAGCAGACCGTTTAACGGCTTCGTTTTCTTTGGCATCGCTAGATGCTGATGGACGTATTATTCTCTGGGTAAATTAGCATGTCAAAATATTTCGCATTTAATTGCTAAATATTTTTTGTTTTAGTCTGTTGTTGAACTGTCTCATACAGATGAAGCTGGTTCAATAGCAGATCTTGGTCTTAAACCCGGTGGTAAAGTACGCATGACACAAACATCATCGATAAAAATACGAACTTCTATATATATGCCACGGTAGATCTTATTTTAATCTTCTGAATAAAAAAATTTAATTTTTCTTTTTTTTTAAAGAGATTCAATTCAAGTATATGATGTAGCCTGTCCAGCCAACGATGTAGATAACTTGTATGTCGCAAGTAATGCCGTAAGTAGAATAAACCAACCATGACGTTACTAGATCTATTGTGTTTCTATGACGTGCTAGGGAGCAGTGTATCACATGACAAGGTATGGGGGTATTGCTCCACCATCCAAACTACGTCTCACCAGCCTAGGTATACTTTATATTTCTTTCAAAATTCATTTCAATTATGTAATATATGTTGTTTTTTCTTTTAGAATATCTTGTTGAAGTAACCTGTTTAGCCTTTAATCCCATGGTGAGCAAACTTTTGATTGTGGGAACGGCACATGGCGAATTGAATTTATATACAACGGGAAGAGGCATGTTAGTACAAATAGTGTGATATCTTTAATTTATTAAACATTGGAAAACAAAACTTCATCTTTCTATTTTGAAGATGAACCAATTTTATCTTGGCCACTGGCATTCAGTGATCAACAAACAATTGTTGGGTGTTCGTGGAGTATGACGAGGCCGAGTGTATTTTTTGCATATGATAGTGGTGGTACGATTAAATATTGGGATCTATCAATTAACGAGGTTGAACCCATGGGCAGTGTAACTGTTCCTAAGTAAGAGATCAAACATTGATGAGGATAGTCGGTATTCTAACATATTTTGATTTTAGTTTAACTCATTTTATCCTATCAAGTAGTAATGCATATGAAACATCATTTGCTATTGTTGTGCGAACAACAACAACATCATCAAAAAAACGGACAAACACATCTGAATCTACAAGTATTGAAGTTCATCAATTAAAAAAAGAGTTGGCTACGCATTCAGACAAATTTCAAGACAAATTTAAAAGGGTATTAAGAGATATACTAACAGATGCATAAGTTGAACTGTTATTCTTTTCCTCGATTTCTATGTTTTATTGTACAAAAAAAGATTTATCATACATTGTTTTTTATTCTTACTACAAAACAGTGCTGTTTTTTATTTTGTCTCGGCTTGTTGTATTATACATCGACTCTAGTTCTACTAATTCTATTAAACAAGAGTAAAATCAATATGTTTGTTGGTTTCTGCTTTAATAAATTTAAGTTATTATGAGTTATATATATATATATGTATATATATATGTGTTGAATTATGTCAGTTTTCAAACTCAGTTAACTATGCTGCGCAGAGATTAGAAAGTCGGATGAATGGAACGGTATTCATATTCTACATAGTAATTTATCTATTTTATAATAGAAATCAAGAATAAAATCACCTTTTTCATGTTGAAATAGTTATTTCAACATGAAAAAGGTGATTTTATTCTTGATTTCTATTATAAAATTTTTCACTTTAAAGAAAGAATCAATTGTTATCTGTTTGATCTTGCGTTAACTTTTTTGTCAAACAAAAAGGTTTTTAAATCAAAAAAGAAGCAATAGAGCGTGCAGAGAGAAGAGAGTGAAAAGTATAATTTATGGTTATTTCGAATGAAAAAATATTTTTATATATTTATTCATCTTAATTGTTAAAATGTTGAAAATATTACCATTTTATGGTCTAATTGCACGTAGTCAATGCATATATCAAAGAAATGACTTCGGGTGCCGTTTCTACAACTGTTTTATTTTCAAACCATCGTTCTCCCCGAACATTTTCTTTTTCTGAACTTTGACTAGTCGTCATAGTAGAGAGTCAGATGAATGTCATCTTCTTTCTGAGTTACAGAATTTTTAAAATAAAAAAATTAAGTTTCTACATAAGGTTTTAACCATTTTGCTTTCATCTCGAGATATCGTCTCAAGTATCTGCGGTAAAAGGTTTGATTCGATTGGATGAAGTTTTCGGAGCTCATAATGGACCGTGTCGGTTTTTCGTAGAAAACTGCCACCTGTCCGCCGAGAATTCTTTTACTATATAAGTTTATGAAGGAACTTTCGCTGATTCTTTTTATGGCATTAATTGGCCTTAGAGCACGGTTCTTGGTACCTAAAAATTAACTTTTCCCGTTAGGACGCTGAAAGGCGATAAACATGAAAATGTCATATCTCTGCAATGAAACAAATGAATTTTCCATTATCATTATTTTCTTTTGTTATTTCATATGTACTAAATTGTAATGGTTTCATTGTTTTACAATAAAATACGTCTAATGTAATATCATCATTATCCGTATCTTGATCATCTGTACTAT